AATGTAGTTTGGCATTGTGCTGATTTAGTAAAGTGGCTGTGGTAGGTTATCCTCCAGCTCTGACTTCACTAGCTCTGGGTACTTGCATAAGTTTCTGGTATCAGGTATGGTTTCCCTCTTGTTGAGCAGGCCTGAAGCTCACTCTGTGAGTTCTTGGTTGCTATCAAGTTAAGTGTGCCCCTTCTGCACCTGAAGGGTTATTGTGTGAGATTGTGTCTCCTAGAAAGGTCAGAAACTATACCCATAAAGTCTCACCAACACAGTTGCCTAAGCATGACCTGAACAAGGATAACACCCATTGGTATGCTACTGTGGAAGGATGGAAGTTCATGGGGCTTCAAGCCTGAACAAAAACATACAAGCAATTAAGCAATGCTGAGCATGGGACAGTCTTCTTCCCCAGGGAAGGGTACATTGATTGGTCATCCAATAGTAAATGGTCAGCCCTGAGAACATGCATACAAACAATATGAACAGGTTGTATTTATATGTTTAGGAACACACACACACACACACCAATTAAAAAAAAGAGAGAACATGAATTTGAAAGGAATCAAGCAGGGTGGTACATGGGAAGGGTTTGGATGGAGGAAAGGGAACGGGAAAATGGAAATAATGCAATTGTAATCACAAAAACGTATGAATGTATGTATATATGTATGTATGTATGTATGTATGTATGTATGTATGTATGTATGTATACTTTTTAAAAAGGTGGCAGGTGGTGAAAGCACTTACAACCAAGTCTGCTGATCTATACAGATCTCTGTGACCCACATAGTGGAAGGAGAGAACCAACTTCCATAAGGTGTCCTCTGACTTCTATATGCATGCATAGTTCACTCAGACAGATGCACATCCACAGACACATTAGATAAACAAATGTAAAAAATAGGAAAAATAAGGCAGAAGTGACAGAGGAAGACACCCAATTTCCTCCTCTAGCATCTGCATGCATACACTTGAGCATGCATGCAACACACACACACACACACACACAGACACACACACACATACACACACACACTCATAAAGAAAAAAATATCACCTCTTCATTAATCTACCAACATTTGTTCCAGATATCAGCAAAAGTGCATAAGCTCTGCCTTCAAGCAGTGAATAATGTGGCTATCTTCTATGTGTTATTGCTGAAGTAATTTTATAACTGTATGACAGATGCATACATAGATTTTAGCTGGTTCTTTCCTGTTTCTTTATCACATTGCATTGAACATGAAATTACGACTCATTTAGAAGGATGCTCTTTCCTGAATTATCTCTATCTTTTTAGTGTGTGAAATCCTCCTCTCAAAGAGGACTGGGTGGGTGGTATTGCCTGTGGTAAAAATAGTTTTCCACTTAGTCACTTCTTTAACTCACCATTCTTTATCTGTAGCACAAATGTTTCCTGAAGCTTCTTATCTAGAATTTCATTACAAATGATAAAACTCACCGTAGTGCAGTGGCAGACAAATATTTACAAATAAATATGAAATGAATAATGCAACCCAAGAAAAGGACCTTTACTGAGGTGTGTATGCAAATAAGAAAATGAATACACATTCCTGGGGAAAAACAAACTTTAAATAAGTTCGTTACTATAGTAGTAGTCACCACCAAAAAACCCCAGTAGGATAGAATAAATGATTAAGCATGAAACAGTTCAGTCTTGAAGGCAAGTACTGACCTGATGGCAGAACAGTATTATGAGAATATAATAGGATCTATTAAAGTGAAGAAAGAGATCAGTAGAAATGTTATTTATGACTATTTCATTTGGCTTTTTAGAATTTTCTTTTTGGGTAACTTTTATATCTGTTTAAAAACTAATTAAGCTATTTGTTACATAAAACTGTATACTTGGTCACTGCTCTATTGTTGTGAAAAGACACCATGACCAAAGGAAACTCTTATGAAAGAAAGCATTTAACTGGAGGCTTGCTTACTGTTTCAGAAGTTTAGTCCATTATCTTCATGGCAGGAAGCATCATGGCAAGAGAGCCGGCATTGGAGCAGAATCAGAACACGTATCACATACTTCCAACACACGATGGTATGCATTACTATTCCAAAAAGGAGGGAAAGGGACCATACTGAGGAACTGCCAAAGCCAGGTTGAAAACTAGTTGGGCAAACTCCAAATTCTGCATCACCATGTTTGGTGTTAAAGCACTCTTCAGAACTCCAACTCCTCCCAGCTCTATTGACTGAAACACACTTCTTTCTCTTGGGCTGGTTCCACATTCTGAGTGCAGCTCTCCTTGTTAGGTATCACAAGACTCTGGCATCTCCAAAATCGTGAGGTCTCTGATACAATCCAGGCTTTATTTCATAGCTTCACTCAAGAACCTCTCTAGACCTCTATGCAGGACAAGCCTGACCTCAGAGGCTTTCCTTAGTCATAGAGGGAGATTCCACAACCCCTTTCTTGTATCTTTGACTCAAAGTGATTAACATTGCCAAGTTCTGTTGCTTTATAGAGCTGGGCCTTGGCCCCTTTCTTTGATTATATTTGTCTCATCTTTCTGTTGTTGATTATGTGTGTGTGTGTGTGTGTGTGTGTGTGTGTGTATATCTCATCATATAGATATTTAAAAAAACTCTAACTTACCACAAAAATTTTGTGTAAGAGTTACTTTTATTTTCAATAATGCTTAGCAACCAATGAAATGCACACTTGTAATCTCAGCATTGGGAGGTTATCCTTAGCTACTGCTTGGTTATTTTGAGGCTAGCCTGAGCTACATGAGATCATCTCTTCCCCATCACCCTTTAAAAAATTTTCATATCCTCAGTTGTAGTTTGAGTTTTACAAACTCAATAATAAAGTTGATCCAGACTTTTTATATTAAGGATTTACAGATAATTTTATTATCCTCAGTTTCTTGATTTATTTTCGTGCTTTATGATACTCATACATAAGTACCTAACAATGGCTGAAGTCTATTCATACGTTATCTCACCAAGAACAGGGCTGTAGTAGACCTTCAAAATTATTTCTGCTGTTATGTAGGTGAGTGATCAAAATGAATGCCCTGCTGTACTGCTCTTTTACTTCAAGATAGCAGAAGGGGAAACTAAGGCTATTTAAAATTCCTTCAGTAGTAGCACATAATGCATTTGTGCGACATGTCAGTATTTATAATACGCATTTGTCTTTAAATTTAAGTTTTATTTAAAGGCTCGAGATAAATGAAAAGTGAAAAGTTGTGTATTTGTAGATTGTCCTCAATAACAACAATAACCTCGCTGGATTGTATAGATTCACGCTCACCCTCTCCCCTTTTTTTTTTTTTTTTTTTTCTAAAGGCCTGTCTAGAAACAACTATACAGAGATTTCAGGTTGGATACTTGTATTACCCCAGTGCGGTGTTCCAGATCTTAGTGGTTGTTCTTTGTCAATGAAAAGAGAGTACTGTATTTTTGTGACCCAACACTAGGCTGTTTGGGGGTAAAAAGTCATTGTGGCATGTCTACAGTTACAAGCAAAGAGCTCCCAGTTTTAAATACAATTTTTAGGTTGGCATCTATAACTCATACCACGAGGAAACATTTGTTTAGGAAAGGTCCGCCCCCCCATCCCATGTTTGTGGCTTTGGGACTGGGACCGGCTAAGGAGGGGGCTGATTTCGGTTGACCCGGCCAAGAGTCCTGTAGCGCATGCGCAGTCCTGGCTCCAAGGTAACGGCCCAGAGAGAGCCACCAACCAGGCCGCAGTTTTCGTGGTGGATGGTGGAAAAACAGAAAGCAAGAGACACACACACACACAAGAAAAGCCCTGGAAGCAACCCGCAGGCCGGATGTCTCCCCAGTGGGAAGCTTGGGGGGGTTTCCTCCAGGGGGCTCCTGACCGGAAGTGCCTCTCTAGCGCGCGCCCACCTGCCAGCCTGGAAACCCCTTTTCGAAGTAAGTTCCGGTCACGTGCGGACGCGCGTGCTGCCTCGAGGCTGGCTGCCGTCCGTCCGTTGAGCAGCAGTCGGAGGTGGATGGAGGCGTGGGGACCGCTTGGGACGATTGAGGAGGACTGTGTGGAGGACTGAGGAGGACAGGGAGGCTCGTGGAGGACTCTGTGGAGGACTGCGGAGGCACAGAGTGGTACGTGGAGGCCGCGAGGCCCGCGGTGGCGTGCAGAAGCGACGCGAGGCATGCAGGCACCCAGAGGCGTCCGGGCCTGCGGAGGGAGGGAGGCGTGAGGCAGCGGTTGGGGGCCTACGGCCTGTGAGGAGGCGGTGTGGGTGTGGGCACACGGAGGTGCCAGGGCCCGGTGCCGGTGCCGACGGACCCTGCCCGTCAGGACAGACCCCCTACGGACCCTGCCCGTCAGGACAGACCCCCAGGCCTCCTGACCCTGCCCGTCAGGACAGACCCCCAGGCCTCCTGACCCTGCCTGTCAGGACAGACCCCCCCCACGCCTCCTGCCCCTGCCTGTCAGGACAGACCCCCCCCACGCCTCCTGCCCCTGCCTGTCAGGACAGACCCCCCCCACGCCTCCTGCCCCTGCCTGTCAGGACAGACCCCCCCCACGCCTCCTGCCCCTGCCTGTCAGGACAGACCCCCCCCACGCCTCCTGCCCCTGCCTGTCAGGACAGACCCCCCCCACGCCTCCTGCCCCTGCCTGTCAGGACAGACCCCCCAGCCTCCTGACCCTGCCTGTCAGGACAGACCCCCCCCAGGCCTCCTGACCCTGCCTGTCAGGACAGACCCCCCAGGCCTCCTGACCCTGCCCATCAGGACAGACCCCCCGACGGACCCTGCCATCAGGACAGATCCCCCAGGCCTCTTGACCCTGCCCGTCAGGTCAGACCCCCTGAGGGACCCTGCCCGTCAGGACAGACCCCCCACCCCCGGGGACCCTGCCCGTCAGGACAGACCCCCGACTGACCCTCCCTGTCAGGACAGAACCCCAGGCCTCCTGACCCTTGGTGTCCCACTGCAGCCAACAGCCCTGAGCAAGCAAGCAAGCACAAACCCTCCCTTGTCCTTTCCAGGGTCCCCAGGGCTGAGGGTCGAACTCAGACCCCACAGCCTCATCAGCACTGGCGCGAGTAGGCCCGAGAGCCGAGATGAGCAAAAAGCGAGACAACCGCCCTCACGAGCTCGAGAGCCAGTTCATTCTGCGCCTGCCCCCGGAACACGCCTCGACTGTCCGGGAAATCATCCGTTCTGGAGATCCCACCATGAAGGATAAACTGAAAATCGACCTGTCTCCCGATGCGCGGCATGCTGTTGTGCAGGTCGACAACGTTTCGCTGTCGGCCAGGGTCGTTGACTTGCCCTGTGTCATCGGGAGCCTGAAGACTCACGATCGGAAGACCTTCTATAAAACGGCCGATGTTTCCCAGATGCTGGTGTGCAGTGCCGAGGGCGGTGGCTGCGCTTCCCCAGAAGAGCCGGCTACTTCCGCTGGTGCCACCGCCACAGGCAGGCAAGGGGAAATGGAGAAAAACTATATCTGGAAGCATGGCATTACACCACCACTGAAGAATGTCCGAAAGAAGCGGTTTCGGAAGCCTGCAAGAAAGCTGCCCGACGCGAAGCAGAGCGAAGACAGCTGCAGTGGCTACATTGATTCTAAGGAGGTGGAAAAGGAAGTGAAGAGACTGCTAAGGTCAGACGCCGAAGCCATCAGCACCCGATGGGAAATCGTTGTAGATGAGGAGACCAAGGCAGTCCAGAGTCAAACCCATACTCCAGGGCTTCCGGTACCCACCGAAATGAGTGGTCCTAGCTCATTGGAATGTGCTGTGCCTCAGAGCACGTTCGGTGATTCTAGCCATCCCGATGACGATCAAGATGAGGATGAGGATGAGGATGAAGATGGAGGATGAAGATTGTGGAGGATGAAGATGTGGAGGATGAAGATGTGGAGGATGAAGATGTGGAGGATGAAGATGTGGCGGATGAAGATGTGGCGGATGAAGATGAGGAGGATGATGATGAAGACGAGGAGGAGGAGGATGAGGAGGATGATGAAGACGAGGAGGAGACGGAAGGTGATTCTGAAGAAGATCTGGAAAGGGAGCTGCAAGCCAAATTTATTGAGTTTAACTTGTGCGAAGCTAAGGAAGGTTGTAGTTCAGTTATCTTGGGAATTCAGAAGCTGATACATCACAAGGAGAAAAAGCTCCAAGAGATTCAGGCCAAAGCACAACGACAGAAAGATCTCCTCAGTAAATTGGAAAATGCGACCCTCAAGAGTCATTTCCAGGCTGTGCTAGAACAGCTCAAGTTGCAGGAGAAGCAGAAGTATGAGCAGATCATTTTCTTACAGGAACAACTGCAATATTTTTTGAAGAAGTAAGAAGACCCTGACTCCATCATCCAGACTGAAGACTTGGTAAAACTGTGTGTTTTCCCTAGTTACCTGATCTTGCATTAATTTCTTTTCTTTGAACATTTTGCTAATTGTAGTGTTTTAAGCACACAGTCATGTAGAGAAGGGCAGTATAAAAACGTGATAACTCAAAGGGTTCCAACTGATTATGGGGCTTGGCTTCTTCTCTCCATTAATTTGAGAACTCATGTATTGCTTCTTATGTTCTATCAGATCATTTAGCTGTGTTTAACAAAGGGAGACAGTATAGCTTATATGGCCCTACAGCTAGTTCACATATATTTAAACTGTTTAAGTATTTGCTACAGCATAGAAAAAATTTTCTAGGTGTGGTGGCCCACACCTGTAATCTCAGCACTTGAGAAGTTGAGGCAGAATGATAAATTCAAGGCCAGCCTGGGCTACCTAGCAGCTTACTGGTTTACATAGACCTGTCTCAAAACAAAGAATCAGTAGATTCTATTGAGGTAAAGACTACTTTCCTGCTCAGGTTTTTTTTCTTTTCTTTTTTTGTGCAACTGATTTTGTACTAATGTTGCCAGTTGTGGCATAGGTGTTATCCTTATTTTAAATTTCTTTATCTAATTTTACTAGAAAAGATTAGGAAAAGGCAGATGCCTGTAATGCCTATGAAGACTTCCCTACCAATCCTGGGCTGCTTGGCAGTGTTATTTTAAAGCTTAGTCTGTATTCTTTAACAAAAATAATAAATAAATAAATTCTTTTGGATGGAAATAAAGAATCTCTAGACTATTGTATTGTTTTTGTACATAGTGAAGCTCAGTGGTCTGAGAAAACAGAGTGACTCTAAAGAAAATGCTGGTTCAAAATGCTTATTTCAATAAACAGCAGTGTTTCATACAGTACTATATCCTATAAGAAATGGAATGGGTATATTTCAGGAAGTAAATTTGTCAGCAGTACCGAATCCAGTTTGTGACGTCCACATACTCATGGGTGTGGAGCCTTCTACAGGAGCATAGGTGACCTGCCAGGAACCACACCCTTAAACAACACTGACATTCCTTCCTCCAGAATGCAACAATTGTCAGTGACTCCTCAGCTAGTGTTAGGGGCTCATAAGCCCCCACTTATAAGCTGATGGCCTGATCTTGTACAAGTCTTATGCAGGCAACACCATCTGAATTCATGAGAGCCAGTGGTCCTGTCATACCCAGAATGCTTTGTTTCACTTTGATCCCCACAATGTCTGGTTCTTACACTCTTTCCAACCCTCTTTTGTGATGGTCCTTGAGCCTTTTGGAGAAAGGTTGTAATAGATGCCAATAGATAAGATTTTTGGTGAGGAATCCACAGACACTTATTCTCTGAATTGGCTAGTTGTGAGAAACTTCTCTGATGAGGTTTGAGAGCTGTGCTAATTTATGGGAATAGAAATAATGATTTAGAGGGTAGTTTGGTACTGTGTCCCTTTAGCAAAATAGTAGTAGTAGTAATAGGTTTACTTTGGGGCCTGTGAACTCTGCAATCATGGATCTTGGCCAGATTCACAGTATTAGGTGTTTTCCTTGTGGAAAAGGTCTTAAATCCCATCAGAAAGTTGTTGGTTACCCCTATAACATTTGTGGCATTATTCTACCCCTGGACATATCTTGCCATGCCCAACAAGTGATCTTCTTTTTCTTTTTGTTTTTAGACCTAAAGGGGAAAATGTTGTATGATATCTTGATAGTGTTCTAAAGCTTGATTGGAGTCAGAGGGAGGAGTTAGCCACCAGCCAACCAAAATTAACTATGTAGGCTTTGGAAGACTGAGAACAGATAGGAGAGAAAGTAGTAAGGTGGAGAAAATGTGATTACATGCTCTATTTGGAGGAAGGGACAGAGTAGACAGGGAGGACTGATGACTTCTCTTCTTCTCTAGATTGGGAGGCAGCAAGAGCCAGTGAACTACTGGGCCTGCCTTGAGCTCCTGAAACCTAAAGCTCATCCCCAGGGACCTACTTCTTCTATCTAGGCCACACCTCCTAGTAGTGCCACTCCTTATGAGCCAATGGTTGCCATTGTCATTCAAACCACCACAGTCAGCCTTCAACAAGAATCCTGGCAAGTCAATGTAGCAATACTACTAAAGACAATCAATCTTGATGTCTTGTTTTTGTCACTTTCTTCCAACCACTCTGCTTATTGTCTATACATTTTTTTTTTGTCCTTAGGTATGAGCTTCATCTATCAGCAGTCCTGACACCTATGTGGTTGTTGTAAATAAAGTCCTCACAGTTCCTACAATTGTCACAATTTTCTCTACTTAACTTTCCAAAGTAAATGTCAATGGATGGGGAAAACTACCAGGCAGTTGTCCATGCAGGATGGGGTCCTTCAAGAAAGGAGTATGTTTAAGAGAGATATTTGTCAATATTGCTCAGATAATTGCCAAATACGTTTGAAAATGGTCATTACTTGTAATAACTTGATATGAAACTAAGTTTGACATACTGAGAGCTAGCAACAAGGTAATATGTGTGGAGCCTATTGCAAGAGGGAAAGGAGTAAGAGGTGAGGCAAGCAGATACTGGATAACAAATTGTAATAGAAGGAATCAACCCTAGAGTTTTAGGGAAGTTACTTTAAATATAAGTATTATTGAGCACCAATGTATACAAGGCCATGGTGTCCAAGAATTACAAGGAAAACAAGAAATGCTGCATTTAACAGCTGATTTTTTTTTAGTGTAACCCCAAAATAGAGACCACAGAAAATGATTGAAAACATAAGCTGCCTGGAATTATCAGTTGGAATCCATACAAATGCATGGTAAAGACAGCAAGGGTTTCTATTTCTAAAAAGGGAGTTAGGTTTGTAAAACATGCAAAAAGAGTTAATGCTTCTCTGTGACAGGAATAAACAACCCACTCTGCCAAGAGGAAGACAAGTGGAAATTAATGTCAGAACCCAGGCTTAATTCTCTCTCAAATTCAAAAAAAAAAAAAAGGAATTGTAATGTTCATGAAAAACATGTGTCCTGCACTGTAGAAGCTGGGACAATTATTGGTTTATTCATAATTTTATGTCTCTTGTACCAGACACCATGTGGGGAAGCAGCCAAGGGCCAAGCAGAAGGTGCCAGAATTCTGCGTGCAGTTAGATGGCAAGCTGTGGAGGCCTCCTTTCTCCCAGTTCACACATATATAAATAACCCCTCCCACCTTCCAGACAGGAACTGAATGAATATAGAGGAAGGAAACTAATTGGATCCATCTGTGGCTGGGAAGGAAGGAATTTCAATAAATGTTCCCCCAAAGAAATCATTTTCAAATGCTCTTTTGACCATTTTCAAAAGGCACAGGCTTTATATGCCTATGGTTGACGTGACCTGTCATCTTATAACACATCAGTCCTGTGGAGTTTTGTGCCAATACACTTAATGCCCTGAAGCCTGCCTGGCATGGTGGCATATGTCTGGAATCTAAGCACTGGGAAAGCTGATAAGGACTGTAAATTTGATACTTCAGCATTAAGTGTGTGTGTGTGTGTGTGTGTGTGTGTGTGTGTGTGTGTAATCATTTGGATATTTCCCCAAAACTCAATTCAAAAACCATTTGTGGACTTTAACATTTCTTTCTCTTAAAACTTTCCCTTTGTACTTCCTCTAGCAACAAAAAGCGTGCATAAGGATGCACAAGCACACCTGAGTGCACACCGATAGATGTTTTTTCCTTTGTGAAAACATACAAAATACTATGTAATTCTTTAGAGGTCCCTCATGTCCACTTTAATTTTAGAACAAGGTCTCATGTAGCTCACAGTGGCCTCAAACTCACTACATAGCAAAGGATGGCCTCAGACTCCTGATGACTCTGCTTCTGTCTCCTGGGTGCTGGGATTACAGGTGTGAACCATCATGTCTGACTCTTCAGACATTTTAGACCATCTTTTAGTTATGCTTGAGACAGAATGGGACAGAAAAGTGTTATTATCTATTATTACATATGATTTTATTTTTATATATGCAACTGTAACAATGAAAGAAATGATGTAGGGCACATGGAGTACATTTTGCCCAAGGCAGGACAGAACAGCAAAGTGTCAGTGATCTGGAAATCTGGGGTGATTTCCTAACCCAGTGCTGGAGAGCATGGGCTTGTTTACAAATATTTGGCAGTGACTTGATCAAGAGGCATATGTATAACACCAAAGATTAAAAACATTTTATTAGGACCAAAGATGATTGTCATTTGCTCTTCTGACCATGACTTTGTAGAATTAGTGATCACTGCCATCATTTGGTGTTGGGAGGTTCTCCTGGACTATTCAACACACTTTTCTGTATTTATCCCTCTTAATAGCTCCACTAGTTGGGCAGTATTTTTATTCTAGTTTATAGTGAAGTAAATAAACTTGGTAAAAAGGTGAAGTAATTGTCCAAATTCTCCTAGACAGTGATGGAGGTGGGAGCCTGAGGGCCTTGATCTACAGCTGCCTTGCTACACATGCAAATCGCACCATTCCAAGTGCCCACTAGGAAACGACACAGTACAAACTACTATGTGGGGTTAGTGCTAAGGGAGAAAAGAGGCAGAAGTTGGCCTTAGAGCTTTTAGAGATCGTGCTATCTAGTCTGTCCTTAAGTCCTGTTATGCCTTCCCAAAGCTGTGTTGATACTACCCTTCCATTCATTTATGTGTCCTCTTGAAGAAAAGCATCCCCATGAAAAGGCTCCTGATGCACAGCATCTCTGGTGCTGTGCTCCCATAGGATGCTTTCTTCTAGAGGGCAGACCGTGTCCTTACCAGTTTTCACATCCCTTGACATCTAGCACCGTGCCTAGCACAGAAAAAGTTCTTCAACAAATAGTGGAGGAAACTGAACATAAAATAACCATGCAAGACATTGGCTGCTGGCATCACAATGGAGTTTTATTATTCTCATTGTTTTTGGATTGGGAAATATTTGGATATTTCTTATTTTAATGTTTTAAAGTTCTCTTAAGACTGTATCCCTTGGCCTGGCATGGACCTCCTGGATGTATGGTGGTGCATACCTCTGATCCTAGCACTAGGGAGGCAGAGGCAGGCAGTTCTCTGAGTTCAAGGATAGTTTGATTTATATAGGAAGACATTTTGGAAAAAAATTGTAAAATGTAAGTAAGAAAGAAAAAGACTATATTACCTTATCTAAATACATTAGTATCCTTCTTTTATAGAAACTATCATTAGGGATTTAAAAAATTTTTATCAGCAACTTTATGAAATCCTGAGCGAAGCTTTGCTAGAAATTGAGGTCAGAAGGAGTGGGGTTGGGGGAGGGGAGAGGGGAAAGAGAAGGAGTTGTAGTAGAGTAAGAGATTGTTGGTAACACGTCTCCTTCAATTGATCTGGAAATGGAACTGTGCTAATGAGGTGAGAGAGAAGGAGTGAGGTGCAAATGGATGGCGATAATGGGGAAGGTGAGAAGGAGGTGGGAAGGCAGGGCATTCACACTCAGCTCACACTCCAGTACAGGAGCTGGTGTAGTCCGACCTGTGCTAATGAGCCCTGCTGCTTCCAACTCCTCTGCTCGAAGCTCCTTTAGATGTCTAATAACTCTTAGGAGATGCTTTCTGCAAACCATATCCAGCTAAGCTGGGTGCAGTGAGAAGCAGAGCGAACATTCACCCCAGGTTTCCCTTGAAATAGTTCTGCTTTTCAAT